AATGTATCAGACTGGAGAAATGTCACAAGTGGAGTACCACAGGGTTTAGTTCTTGCACCAGTGATGTTTATTGTCTACATAAATGATCTACCAGTTGGTATACAGAATTATATGAACATGTTTGCTGATGATGCTAAGATAATAGGAAGGATAAGAAACTTAGATGATTGTCATGCCCTTCAAGATGACCTGGACAAAATAAGTATATGGAGCACCACTTGGCAAATGGAATTTAATGTTAATAAATGCCATGTTATGGAATGTGGACTAGGAGAACACAGACCCCACACAACCTATATATTATGTGAGAAATCTTTAAAGAATTCTGATAAAGAAAGAGATCTAGGGGTGGTTCTAGATAGAAAACTATCACCTGAGGACCACATAAAGAATATTGTGCGAGGAGCTTATGCCACGCTTTCTAACTTCAGAATTGCTTTTAAATACATGGATGGCGATATACTAAAGAAATTGTTCACGACTTTTGTTAGGCCAAAGCTAGAATATGCAGCGGTTGTGTGGTGCCCATATTTTAAGAAGCACATCAACAAACTGGAAAAGGTGCAAAGACATGCTACTAAGTGGCTCCCAGAACTGAAGGGCAAGAGCTATGAGGAGAGGTTAGAGGCATTAAATATGCCAATACTAGAAGACAGAAGAAAATGAGGTTATATGATCACTATGTACAAAATAGTAACAGGACTTGATAAAATTGATAGGGAAGATTTCCTGAGACCTGGCACTTCAAGAACAAGAGGTCATAGATTTAAACTAGCTAAACACAGATGCCAAAGAAATATAAGAAAATTCACTTTCGCAAATAGAGTGGTAGACGGTTGGACCAAGTTAGGTGAGGTGGTGGTGGAGGCCAAGACCGTCAGCAGTTTCAAAACGTTATATGACAAAGAGTGCTGGGAAGACGGGACACCACGAGCGTAGCTCTCATCCTGTAACTACACTTAGGTAATTACCAGTAGATTGACGGTCGACAGGCAGGACCAAAGAGCTGAAACTCGACCCTCGCAAGCACAACTAGGTGATTACACATGCACACACACACCTGAATTTATCTGAGGGCCACTGACATTAGTGGCCTCGACGAGGACAGGAAGCCGGCGGCTTGTCGAAGGTACAAGATATTTGCCTTGATAATAGTTTCTAACTGGATTTTGAAATTCAACAATTTTGGCATTTACAGCTTCGGCGGGTAGGCGGTTCCATGCATTTATAACCCTGTGGGTGAAAAAGCATCTCCTGTTCTCATCCTACATTGTGGCTAGTCGAGCTTGAAACTGTTGCTTCTTGTTTGTGTTACATCTGACCTTTAAAGAAATTGTACAGATCAACATCCTCCAAATTGTTCTTTATTTTGAAAGCTTCAATGAGATCCGCCCTTTCGTGCCTAGTTTGTACTGTTACTATGTGGTTCTCACTCGTTCCCAACACGAAAGATGACTTTGCTTTGGAATGATTTTTGCTGCCCCGTGTTCACGTTCTCCAGAGCAGCTATGTTCTTCTGAAGATGAGGTTTTATGAGCATAGTTTTATGAGGTTTTAAGAAGCAGTTATGTCCTTCTGAAGATGAGATGAGCATGGAGGCACCCCCAAGCTCCTCCATGCTTGGGGGAGCACCAGAGTTGGTGCTCCATACATTGAATCACTCCCTTCTTTTCCTTAATTTATTTATTTATTTATATATATACAAGAAGGTACATTGGGTTTGTGAGAATACATTGGATAGTACAGTATTTACATTCTTGTAAAGCCACTAGTACGCACAGCGTTTCGGGCAGGTCCTTAATCTAGCGTTTAAAGTCAAAGGTGCACTTGATTGTTCCAAGTGTTTGGTTGGCCTTTCTGACTGCTGCTCCTACCTGTTGTGCAACTTTCAGTGATTGGTGGATTTTGACTCCAAGGTTCTTTTCTTCATCAATCTGCTGTAATGGAATGTTATTAATTTGGTAGTTGCAACATGGACCACTATACTCACATGCAAGGTCTTGCATTTGTCAATATTAAGACTAATTTGCCATTCTTCTGACCATTTGCAAAGTTTGTGTAGGGCTTTCATGAAGCCTTACTACTGCTGAAGCCCTACCCTACTTGAAGTTCATTTGCAGATTCTCTTTGTAGGGGCTCCAATATCATTATTTCCCACTTTATCAAATGTCTTTGTGTCATCTGTAAATTTGATGAAGTGGTTTAATATTCACATCTATGTCATTGATGTAAATTACAAAAAGGGTTGGCCCCAAAATGGACCCCTTGTGGTATCCTACTTACCACCACATTTCTACAGTCTGATTCAGACCCAATTAGTACGATCCTTTGTTTTCTTTGTTTCAACCAGTGTTTTATCAAAGGCTTTAGCAAAATCCATTTATACTACATCCTCCAGATGCTTGACTGAGTATCTGGTTACCGTTTCAAAAACATGAGCAGGTTGTGAGGCAAGATCTATATTTAACAAACCTACATTGTGTCGATTTTACAAGATTGTTCACGGAAAGATGATGAATGATTCCCTCCCTTATGTTTCTCTCCTTGAACTTGCAGATTTTTTATGTTAAGCTGATTGAACAGTAATTTTCTGCTGAACTCTTTCTGCCTTTTTTTAAATATGGATGACATTTGCATATCTCCAATCTAGGGTGGACTATCCCTTGGTACAGAGATTTTGTGAAAAGTAATTTCAGAGGTAGGCATAGTTCTTCTGCCAGTTCCTTTATAACTTTGGAATGGATTCCATCCATACCTGGGGCTTTTGAGTCTTTTTGTTTATCAATGTTCTTTCTGATTATGTCACATGTTATGGGTATATCCCTAAATTCATTCTCTTCACGTTTTTCAAACATTTCTGTGGGTGATGAGATATCATCTAACCTTTCTAGTGTGAGCATTGATGTAAAATATTCATTCAGTGTTTGCTGCCCTTCTATCGTCCAATATGACTTGGTTAGTCTCATCTTTTAAGGGTCCTACCGAGGCCTTTGTTTTGGTTTTACTTCTTATATAGGCATAGAACGATTTTGGATCTTTCTTTGTTTTGGGCAAGTTTCCTTTCGTAGTTTCTTTTGGCTGATCTAATTTCCTGGATGGCTGAGTTTAGTGCCCTTTTGTATATCTCATAATCAATGTTGTCCATTGTGGATTTACAGTATACAGTATGTTCTTCAGAGGTTCTGCTTACTATAGTTATCAATGCTCATTTTATGACTTGTATCATCCATCTAATTCCCTTTCTTTTCTTCCTCCTTTTTGGCACATATTTTTGAACGAGTTCCGTGATGACCTTGAAATTTTTACCATGATACTCCCTTGCCATGTTCCCCTATCAACTCCCTCCAGGAGATGTTTTGCAGTTCCTGTCTCATTCCTTGATAGTCTCCTCGATGGTAATCTAGACAGTTATCATCTTTGACCTTTATATGAGTGTCTGTGTTTCTCGTCCATCTTAAAATATGTTGATCACAAGAGGGGGTTAGCTTTTCCCCCACTTGAATTTAATCATACATGCTCTCTTCTGAAGTTAGTACAAGATCTAGAATGTTGTTACTGTACCTTGTGTGGGCTCTACCACATGCTGTAAGAGAAAGGAGTTCTGCACAAGGTCTAAAAATTGATCTCCTTTGGCTTGTGATGTTAGATTTACCCAATCTATGGTCTCACGGTTAGTGTCCCCCAATATTAGGGTTTGGGTTTCTGATGCCGCATTGATCACGTTATGCAGATCAGCAACTCTTCTCTGCTACTGCCATGTCAGCCCTGTAGCATAAACCCCCACTGTCAGTGCTATCATCTTGAGCTAGTATTTGCACCATACAGACTCTGAGGATCCCATGGTGTTCACTTCCTCATTGTTGGTTGCATCCAGGACCTCTTTTACATACAGCATTGCTTCTTCTACTCTTGTTGTTCTGTTCTTTTTGAATGGTGGGTGGTATCCTGGGAGATGGAATTCACCTACCTTTATGTGCTCTCGTCCCCATGTTTCACTGATGCCAATGATGTCTGGATTTTCAGCCGCAGTATATACACATAAGAGTCAAATTTATTCACTAGGCTTCTGGTGAACAAATCCACAAGGGCCGTGACGAGGATTCGAATCTGCGTCCGGGAGCATCCCAGACACTGCCTTAATCGACTGAGCTATGACAGGGTAAAAGGGTTGAAACCGAAGCTCTACTGAACTTACTAAGTTCAGTAGAACTTCGGTTTCAACCCTTTTACCCTGTTGTAGCTCAGTCGATTAAGGCAGTGTCTGGGATGCTCCCCAGACGCAGATTCGAATCCTCGTCACGGCCCTTGTGGATTTGTTCATTTGATGCATCACGTTAGTGTGATCTGTGTGTGTAATAGGCTTCCGGTATTTGTGTAGAAACAATTTAAATGCCTGACAGTGCTCCTGTATTTAGCACATTACTATTCTGTACAGTGTCGCTTTGGTTCTGAGCCTGTTTGTCATCCGAGATATATAGAGTTAGTTCTGCCTGGCTGGGTGAAGGACTATGTCCTCTCCTCCATCTACTATCTGGATTACCTACCCTCTCCTGATCTTTAGCTGTGCATTTTTGTATCATTCTGTGTTTCTTAACTCCTTCCGTTTACCTCTTAGCATCCTGTCTTTTTCTGCTGCTCAATAGTGAGGTCTGGAGGTATGTATACTTGGTTATACCCCTTGAGATCGTTGAGTTTGTGGCCATGGTTTAGTACTTTCCTTTTGTGTTCAAAACTTTCAATGGTTATTTGTACCATATTTGCTTCAGACCTATCTAACCTCCTGACATTTGATGCATTTAATTCCTCCTCCTTGCCAATCAGTTACTCTAACATTGCCTCAAAAATGAAATGAAAACATTTGAAATTTTCATTTCATTTTCCTAGTGGATACTTTCTATAACTATATATACATTATTTCATTCTTTAATTAAATATGCTTTCAAAATAATAATTGGAATAAATTAATATTGTGTTTTTTACTCTAATTTCTACTTCTGCAGCACCCTCAGCACGCTCTGACAGAAGCGATGGACCCGGCGGCCTGGGGCGACGGGGGAGTGATGGCAGCAATTCCTGCGGAGGTAGTAGTAGGGCAGAAAGTGGGGTGAGTAGTTCCCGTGCCTCTAGCCAAGCCTCTAGTCAACCAGACAGCAGTGCTAGCAGTGGGCAATCTGTAATTGCCCAGACCCAGACTATGCCTCATCCATCTGAGCCACCTGTATGACTAGAGGCCACCACGCGGATGTGAGGACACGCCCAGGGCTCATGGCCGCCACAGGGCCGGCGGTCTGAGCCCTCTCCGGCACACGTGGTGCCGGAGGACCATCCTCCCGCGTGGCATTCGCTCAAGCCCCGAGGCCGTGAGCCATCATGGTCACCGGAACCACCACCATCTCCCGTTCGTGGGCCCCATGGTGTGCTTCCGGCAAGGCTAAGAGCTAGTCAAGAGGCCCTAGAAACTAAAGATTGGCCCCCTCCACCCCCAGGAGTTGAATTAGATCAGCTTGCAGCTCCTCCTCCCCCACGCGCCTTTATGCCTGGCACTTGGTCACCTCGGCCTGAGCATCTACCTCTAACAGCAGCAAGCACTGTAACTGCAAGTAGAGGTGATCCCCGAAGTCCAGGAGCAGTTGCAGCAGCTGCTGTGGCAGGTGGTGCACAAATAATATATGATCATCATCCTGTGCGTCATGCAGTTGATTGCCCTGCTCATAGACTGGATAGTAAACCAGAAAGTGGGCGGACAAGTAGTCGACCTGCCAGTCGGCCAAGTAGTCGACCAGCTAGTCGGCAAGGTAGTAGAACAACTAGTCGGCCTACCAGTAGGTCAGCTAGTAGATCTGGAAGCAGGTCAGCCAGTAGGTCTGGGCACAGATCGGGTTACAGCTCGCCTGGAAGTGACCTGCGCTAGGGTCGCAGGTTCCTTAGGCCCTTAGCAGCCTTCTCCTCCAACGAGTCACTGCCCTAAACACGTGGTGTGCAGCAGCAGCTCCAGCTGCAGCTGAGCCTGTGGTTGTCCCTGACAGACGACTCACTCCGTTACGCTTGCCCCAGCTTTCTTCATGTTTGTTGCCTCTAGTGATAGCTGGAGATGGAGGGCCCTTTGTAATAGTTCAGCAGATCCGTAGACAATCGAGGGAGCAATGTGGCGGCTGTCCTGCAAAGTGCCATCCCACCTGTTGAACTAAATGTGTCCAGGGTGTTGCTTCCCGCCATTAGATGATTTACCACTACTGCCATCTCCGAGACCCCAGTTAACCATGTGGTGGACCATCCAGGACATGTGAGCAGTTTGAATCATGGTTTATACACATAAACTATGCAATACACAAAAAATCTCAAACTAGTGTCCTGAATGTAGAAATCCAGTTAATTGGATCTTGGATACTTGAAGTATTGGTGTACTGTGAGTGATACTAGTAATCAGCTCTGCATCCCAGAGACTTCTGTACTTTGATCAGAGCTAGAGATGTGTTGCAATGAAGATGTGATAGTAGAGTACTGAAACAATTTATACCAAACTGTTTTGCATGAAAGACAAAGTAACAGACACCAATGTTTCCAAAAAGTGCCACAAATATAGAATTAGTGGACTGAGCTCGCTCAAATAATGTTTAGGAAATATATAAAGGAATGAGAAATAGTGCAGGCAAGTAAATTCATTTTCAGTGATACAGATGATTGTATGAGGTATATAGGAATAATAAAAGAGTAAGTGCCAGGATGTTAATTATCTTGTGAGAATTTGGTAGTACTGTAAAACCTTGAAAAATAACAGGATTGCCACTAGCCCTTCAAGGTAATGTAACTTGGAGAAGTTTTGTACTGAATAATAATGGTACTAGAAAGAATGCCAGGAAGATTATAGACCCTGTGAGGAGGTAGTACTCTTTGAGCTAGCAGTGATATGCCGTCAGAGTGAACGCAACTGTGAGTGAATCGTGTCATACAGACACAGAACATTACCAAGTTAATTTTACTTGAAATATGCATAATTTACATGATGCTTTACAAAAGAGAAAATTGCTTGCTAAGGAATCTCTAGGTTTTAGAATTTCTGATCAAACAGTAATATAAATACTTATTAGTTACAATGTGTTGTTGGCATTGTTGTTTAGTCAGACTACCAGGATCTGCAGAAGAGCATGGAAAGGAGACAATCGGTGAGGTGGCCATATGACTGCACAAACCTGCAGTGGTATGCAGGGTGAAGCAATACTCATACCACTGCTCACGGGTAAGAGATGAGAAGGGCTCAGTGCAAAATTGCATCCCTGTGCCACCCCACTTATACCATGAAGAAATATGTGGAGAGGCCTCGAGTAAGCACTGCCCTCATGTGCCGACCACCACAGCTGACACAGAGAGCGGAACAGCTGCCACCACCATCCCCTCCAATCTCTGGCCAGTTGCGGGTGGAGGCATGGGTGCCACCTTCCCCATTTGGTGCTCAGTGGCTGGGTTGTTCCTAACAGGGGGTGCTGGCTGCCCTTACAGTTACTTGGCTGCCTTGGTGTGTACAGTCAGATCTTGTTAGTTAGTATGCTTTGTTCTTCAATAAAAGTTAGTATTTAATTAATGCAATACATATTAATGACACTGAATCTGGATTAATATTTAATTTCACATTACCAACTAATATGTAATAATATGGCTTTGCTGTATCTTGGTGGAGAGCATAATCATTCTCATCATCATTATTATTGCCACTATTATCACTATTATCACCATCCTCATCATCATCATCATCATCATCATCTGTTGATGTAATCTATGGCAGCTGCACTTGTGGTAATCCAGTGACCCCCTGTTAGGTGGGCCTGGCGCACACTGCTATGTAGGCTCAGCATCAAACATTCCTACATTTGTAAATCTTGAAATAGGTTTCATTATGTACATTCAGCTATTAGATATTAGGGGAGGGAATTAGTGATTTGCAGAGTATTATTTGAGAACAGAATGTGAGCATTTGACTGCATTTCATAACATATCATATTCTTTTAAATTTATTGATATACTGTAATTGAAAAGAATTTGATTAAAAATAAAATCTTACAAATTCAGAGTCAGTGGAAATCTATTGAGAGAATGAGAATTGATCTCCAAAACAGAGAGCAAAGTGTGCCATATACAATAATGATAATTTGCAATACTATACTTTACAGTATACTGTACAGGTATATTAGCCTACATGCTGAAAAAAGTCACAAGATAATTTGTCAAAAATCCTTTACCTGTCATGTTTTAGCCATAATAAAATATATATTAGCAGGGCTTTGAAAAGTTAAAGAAACATTAAGTATGCTATGCATGCAGTATTCAAAATACACTATAAATATTTCTTATTGCTATCAAAACCTAATATTTTTTTTTTAATCATTGCTAAAAAAAAAAAGGATGGCAAGTTCTGAATAAAATACAAAATCTGGCATTCACTGTCTCTGGACTTTTAAGAATTTATGTATATCATCTTGTATACATAGTATACCAATTGATTTAATTATGGAAAAATGAGTTGTCATTCTTTTAGAATTTCCAGAAAGTAAATCAAGTTAATTTGCATGTTAAGACATTAACAAATAAATTTTCTTTAGATATTTTTAATGAAATAAAACTTTCTATAATAACTTGAATGTTTGGCAATTAAGTATGAGCAGCACATACATATATCTAAAAGGTTATACAGTATAACTTAGCTTTTGCATTATAGTAATATATATATATATGAATGAAAGTTGGGGTTTAAAATAGTTAGGGAATTTTCAAATTTATCTTTAATCTTTACACAGTTATAGATCACGCTCACCAGTTTTTACAGAGTTGCTCGACATGTGATACAGAAAAGTTGTTATTCTTGAAGTTTGCTACATTTTTTATTGCTTTGTACGATTATCGCTGTCTAAATTTACAGGAAAAAGACGATTAAGTGTAGAGCACAAGATAGTGACACTCACAGTATGCAAGACATGCCCTGTATAGTTGATTATGATGAAAGGTGTGAAATGTGTCATCATCGACTCACCATTGATTCTCTCCCCTCTGGTTTGTTTATAGTGGCGTAGACTATTGGGCTAGTTAAAATAATTTTTATAGGGTTTATGAATTTCAAAACGGTTTCAGATTTTATGCAGAGTCCCCCTTTACCTTAAACCTCACCACTGCCGCCAAGTATGTGTGACTTGTGATAAGAGGTGTTAGTTAATGCCATGTTACACATCCAAATTAATAAAACAAATATTTGTGAATGATTGGCTAATACTTGAAATATTTAAATATGAATATTTAAAAAATTATTATAATAATATATACTATAAATATATACATATATATATATATTATTTGGTTAAATATGACCACTTTGCTGGCATTATTGTTCTTATAGTTCTTATTTTCTAACTCACAGGATTAAGAGGTGCAATTAAGTTACAGAAATTCATGGTAAAGAAACTCTAATGATAACTGAAGGGTATATTTTCTACAACGTTACATTCCACTCTAGAACATCTTCATATCGTCATGTAAGGAATCAATATACAAGGTGCAAATTTATCTTAAATATACATGTGAAAGAGGTGAAGTTGTGGGGCGGGGGGAAGGTGAAGTAATTACACATAAAATAAAGGAAATGATGGAGATGGATGCTTATCAAACACTGGGTATGCTGGTGGGTGGGGAGAACTCAGTAGAGATGTTGTTATCCGGTGGTGTATGGTGAAGTCTGGGTCTGAGCATAGGCAAGGTGCTGTATGGTGAAGTCTGGGTCTGAGCATAGGCAAGGTGCTGTATGGTGAAGTCTGGGTCTGAGCATAGGCAAGGTGCTGTATGGTGAAGTCTGGGTCTGAGCATAGGCAAGGTGCTGTATGGTGAAGTCTGGGTCTGAGCATAGGCAAGGTGCTGTATGGTGAAGTCTGGGTCTGAGCATAGGCAAGGTGCTGTATGGTGAGGTCTGGGTCTGAGCGTAAGCAAGGTGCTGTATAGTGAAGCCTGGGTCTGAGCATAGGCAAGGTGCTGTATGGTGAGGTCTGGGTCTGAGCGTAGGCAAGGTGCTGTATGGTGAAGCCTGGGTCTGAGCGTAGGCAAGGTGCTGTATGGTGAGGTCTGGGTCTGATCATAGGCAAGGTGCTGTATGGGTCTGAGCGTAGGCAAGGTATTTAAGTCGTTACTCTGTACATTTAGGATGGTTTTTTTTTTTACGAATATAGCTTCCAGTATTTGCAGTCTTCTTTGATCAGTGGTGGATGCCAGGATTGTTATATTTTCTACTAGCGTGTTCCTAGTGAGTGTTGTGTTATGTACACTCTAGAAAATATATCTAACAATCATTAGTTTCTTTACCATGAATTTTGGTAACTTGACTGTTCTTAATCCCTAGAGAAAGAAAATAGAAGCATAGAAAGCTTATACAGTACTATAATAGCAACAATGTCAACAATGCTGTCATATTTAACCAAATATGCTTAAAGGAATGCCTGCTGTCCAAGTATACAAATAAATAAATAAATAAATAAAATATATATATTTATTTATTTGTTTGTTAGTTAGTCATACCTAATAGCCAGAATTGCACTACTAGACTTTGTAGGCCGGGTGCATTTGTCCTAATAGCTAGTGTGCTTTAGTTCGTCACATTCATAATATTAATTACTAACTTTTTTGGGTCTACTTTTTCCTACATTAGTTAGATTTTCTGGGGGGAAGCCCCTTCAACTCCCCAGAGTTTACTAGGCTGATATGCTAATGTCACACTTTGGCATCAGTCATGTGTATGGAGTTCTAAGGGCCTACCGGGGACCACGAGCCAGAACCTGACCACCTCAGAGAGGCATGGGGAGCAATGGCCTATAGAAACCCCATGTGGTTGGAAGCATTCTATGTCTACCATCGACCGGGTCAGGCACCCAGAAAGGTAAGCATCCCAAAACAAACCACTATTCTGGTGAAAATTTTGCTACCGAAAGCCAAACAAGTGGATAGAACTCCTCTGAAAGAAACGAGCAAATGAGCATGACGTCACACGTTGCTGCACCTCTGTCCGCGCAGTTCCCCCCTCCCCGGGAGAGGGAAGTGCTGGGTTCGGGTCGCCGGCGGATCAACGATATGGCTCCATTCGGACTGCTCCCCGCTGGTAAATTTCCTGAATCGAGGGGGCTCTTAGCTCTTTGCTCTTTGGTGCTGGTCGCTTCGGGTGACTCGTCTGCTGAGTTCTCGGGGTTTGGCTCTCCTGCCAGTTCACATGCGGGGAGTGTCCAACGTCTTGGGCGACGGCCTGTCTTGTTTCGTTCCCCTCTCCATGGAATGGATGGTCAACACTGACTCCTTCCATTGGCTCTGCCAGACATTCGAGCGTCCCGAGGTGGACCTCTTCGTGTTGGCGTGGTCGCAGCACCTTCCCCAGTATGTGGCATTCTTCCCCAATTGCAAGGCTGTTGGAGTCGATGCCTTTCGGCAGGACTGGTCGAAGTGGGGGTTCCTGTACCTCTTTATCCCGGTTCAGCTGTTGCTCCAGGTCCAGACTCGCTTGGAGACTTACCAGGGCCACCACGGGGCCTCTTGGCCCCGTGGTGGCCGGCCCAGTTTTGGTTTCAGGCGCTGCTTGCCCGGTGTCCGAACCCGGAGGTTTTCCCGCGGCTCCGCCTCTTCCAGCAGATCGGATCGGAGTGTCACGTGGCTGGTTTGGTCTTCTCCTCGAGTCTTCACGTATGGTGTTTTTGACTCTAGTTTATCATCATCTCTATGATGATCAGGTGGCTTCCTTGTTAGTGTCCCACCGGCTGGCTTCGTCTCTGCGGCAGTATGAAGTTTCCTGGCGGTCCTTCCGGTTCTTTTTGCGTCTTCGTCGTTGTGCTTCGCTCTCTGTTCGGGTGGTGTTGTCCTTTCTCTCTTGTTGTTCCGGGACCGTCATCTTATGCCTAACACTGTCGCCTCTTATCGTGCGGCGCTGGCGGAGCCACTTCAGCTTGCTTTCGGTATTGATATTACAGTACTTCTGCGCCGTTTCGCAAGCTGTCTCGTGCATTGTTTCACCTCCGACCTGCTCATGCGCCGCCTGAGCTGTCCTGGTCATTGGACAGAGTGCTCTCTTTTCTTTCTTCTTCTCCTCGGTTTGTTGTGGCCCCTTTGGTTCAGGATTGTTTCTCGAATGCTCTTTTTCTGTTGGCATTGGCCTCTGGGGGTCGAGTTGGGGAGCTTCATGCTCTCCTCTGGCACAGGGGGTTTCTGCTCTTTTGGTCGTAGCTATGGTTTTGTTTGTCTGCAACCGTCTCTTTCTTTTCTGGCAAAGAATGAGACTGCTGCTTTGCGGAGGGGTCCTTGGGTTGTTGATGCTTGGTTGGTCAGGCCGGGGGTGCATCATGTTTTGTATCCAGTAGTGGCCCTCCGCCGTTATTTGCGCGCCACGGTTTCTGTGTCCGGGGACGCGCTTTGGGTTGATCCGATTTCCACCTCTTCCCTGTTCGCGGGTGCGGGTCTCCCAGGTTGTTCGCAGGGTTATTAAGTCTAGCAAGTCTGCGGTTTATCCCCGTGCCCATGATGTTCGTAAGTTCATTGCGCTTGCTGCCATCTTTGGCAACATGTCCTGGTCTGACATTCGGGCGTGGGGTTTTTGGCGGTCAAACAGGGTCCTGGCTGTTCGATATCTCTTGAATGTTCCTGGGCCTAGTCCTGTGTTGCGTTGGGTCGGCGGATGCAGTCAGTTGTCTCGACTTCGAGTTGAGTTGTGAGCAGCGACCACCTCCCGGGTAAGTCCTTCTCCATTTTTCTCTGTGGGTAGTTTTCCCCAGAAACCAGCATTGAATGTAATGAAACGCCATTTTCTGGGCGAGACCCGGGGCTCCCCAGCATCCCTCCCTCCCTTCAGTCGGCGTTTTTATTATTATTTTTTTTTTTGCGTGTTTTGACATCCAGCCTCAGAACTGAAGGTTGGATAGCTGGCGTGGGGGTCTGGGGCTCCCCTTCCCCTTCCCGGGGAGGGGGAAGGGGGAGCCTCAGGGGGGAGGGGGAGCTTCAGCTTTTGGTAGCAAAATTTTCACCAGAATAGGGGTTTGTTTTGGGATGCTTACCTTTCTGGGTGCCTGACCCGGTTGATGGCAGACACAGAATGCTTCCAACCACATGGGGAGTTTTTATAGGCCATTGCTCCCCATGCCTCTCTGAGCGGGCCAGGTTCTGGCTCCTGATCCCCGGTAGGCCTACAGAACTCCATACACATGACTGATGCCAAAGTCTGACATTAGCATATCAGCCTAGTAAGCTCCGGGGAGCCTCCGGGGAGCCTCCGGGTCTCGCCCAGAAAATGGCGTTTAATTACATTCAACGCTGTTTTTTTGTATAATTAAAAATATTTAGATTAGGTCAAGTTCTTTGATTTAGCTCAGACTGAAAAAATCTATGGCAGGTATATTCAAATTTTATTTATTAATACTATACATAAAATGTCTAGACTTTTTTCTTAATTTGTTAGACATGTCAGGCAGCTCAGACTATCAGGTACAACATATACAATACTGTATATGTACTGTACATTTTTATACATACACAAATACACACACACACACACCACCTACTGAGGATTGTAGGATCCTCCAAAAGGACCTGAACTGTTTGCAGAGATGGTCAGAGAAATGGCTACTGGAGGTCAACACAAGCAAATGTAAAGTTATGTAAATGGGATTAGGTGACAGGAGACCGAAGGGACAGTACACAATAAAGGGAAACTACCTACTTCTAACAATTTGAGGAGACCTAGGAGTGTACGTAACACCTAATCTAATTCCTGAGGCACATATAAATAGAATAATGACAGCAGCGTACTCTATGCTGGCAAAAGTTAGAACATTGTTCAGAAAGCTAAGTAAAAGAGGCATTTAGTGCATTTTACACTGCCTACATGAGACCAGTCTTGGAGAATGCAGGCTCATCATGGAGTCCC